CTGCTGAAGGCAACAAAAAGCCTCTGTCCAGCGAGTCGCAGCTGATCTGCCCTAGGACCTCCGCAGACTTCCCCGAGGCCCGCAGCGTCCGCCCGGCCCCTTTAGACTTTATACAAGTACCGATTCCCACTCGAGACAAAAATCAAGTATTGGACGTCGGGTCGTTTCCCCTTACGGCATAAGTAACCGCTCGGCAAGCATTCGGGAGCTACAGACGAGAAGCCTCGCACAGCTGGAGAAGTTGTTTTGGGCTCCTGAAGCGGGGACCTGAAGGCTTGGGGAGAGTCACACTGCTAGGGAGGGAATCCGAAGGGGCAGCAGTAATGGGTCTCCTGAGGGCGAGTTCGGGTGCTGGCCAGGGGCTCTGAGCGCTGCAGGTTCCCGGGCACAGTGGTCAGATCAGAGAGCGGCAAGTGTGGCGTTCCGGCCTCTTTGTCTTCGCTCCCTCCGGCCGGGTCACTTGCAGAGCCGTCATGCAGTCCCTTCCGGAGGCCTCCGACTGAGCTAAGGCGCCCGGAGGGTACTCTCCGGCCGACACCTGAAAGAGTCTCCCTCTTGAGCGGCCCCACAGTCACCTTTCATCCCAGACCCCGGGCCAGCCTCACCCACTCGGGGTCGGGCCTCAGTCTCGGGTCGCCAGCCTCCCGGTCCAGCTCCCAAACCGGAAGTCCGAGCAGGCAGCTGGGGGCACCAAGGACGCATGCGCAAGGGCAGCTGCCGCGACTCCGCTGCGGAGCTCCGGCGGGAGCCAGCTGGTGGGCCCGGCCGAGGCCGGCGCACTTCCGGGACTCGGCGCGCCGGCCCCTTCCTCGCTTCCCGTCGGCTTCTCAGGCGGCGGGACTAACTGCTCCATCCAGGGACCTGTGTGCGGGCGTAGGGGGAACACTCGCCCCCGTGGCCGCCTGGAGGCGCTGGAAGCGCTGGAGGAGGGGGCGACATTTCTAGGGACCCGAGGTCCGTCGCGGTAATGATCCACGAACTGCTCTTAGCTCTGAGCGGGTACCCAGGGTCCATTTTCACCTGGAACAAGCGGAGCGGCCTGCAGGTACCGTCCAGCTCTGAGCGCGGGAACTCGGGAGCGCAGAACCGCGAACTCGAGCCCGTGCCTGGGGGAGGAGTCCGAGGACGGGGGCGGGCCTGCAGGAGGCTGGAGGCGTGTCCCTGGGCAGGTGACCCGAGGGCAGTGGCTGAGAGGCCTGGGGTGCTGTAAACGCCGTGACAGGGCCGGGCTGGGGCTGGGAAAGAGGCAGACCCCGCCTTGGTAGGTGCGTGGAGACTGGGACCAGGCCTGAGGTCGAGATGACTGAGCGAACGAAATAAACACGAGCGAGGTCCTTCTATTCGTTTTCATGTCACATTCTGTGTCGAACTGAGTTTTTAAGGCTTGTCCAGATACACAGCGCTTAACTGAGCTCCAGGTAGATTTTGTTGAATGGAAAGAAAAAAAGAGAATTGGAGAGCGTGTTCTGTGTTTCTCTCATTATCCCTTTCTTAGGGAATTTGTGTAACCCGTAATTTCTGAGGAAGGGCTCGTGTTCCTGTACACTGTCTCGCGTAACCTCACACCAGTCTGTATCCATTTTACAGATTAACATAGCCTCGGACTGTTAACTGTTGGGAACACATAGCTGTTGATAGTAATTAGCAGATCTTTGTTTTGAACGCAGGTGCTTTCTTAGTCTGTAAATCAGAGTCTTCTTGTTTATCAGTTATGAATGCATTTGATTTGGGGGTTTAGGTGGTTTTTTTGAAAAAAAAATTAAGTGAAAATTTGGTGATCTTTGAATGGTGACTTTTTGTGTGAGTCTTTAAAGACTTATGTTGGTATTGCACTTTTCTCTGGTAGAATTTAGCACATGTAGGAACAGAATGTTCAGAAGTATTGACAGCCAGAAATAAAACAGCCAGAAAGGTAGCTGTGGGGGTATTGGAAGAAAGCCAAGAGAAATTCACTATCCCCTTCCTTTTTTTTTGGCCTTTATTTAAATTAAAAATACACATGCAAATATGGACACTTCATTTAGATATTTACATATATGGTTTTGTTTTTTTTTCTTTTTTAGCTATGTGGTGCTTGCACTTGCTGGAGAGACAAGAATAGAGACAGAAAGTGAGAAATAACTCCCCCCCTCCCCCCCGGGGATGGCCCACACCACAATCCTTTCTCTTTCATTCTCCTCTTGGGATTTGGGGCATGCACGCACACACACCTGGTGTGAGTTTGAAGTTGCTGGGTCCTGGACTCAACCATGGTTGACTACTTGGGAGTCCAGTGATGTAACCATTATGCCATCCGCTGGTCCTAAGACACTAAATTTATATGAGCAGTGATGAAGTGCTTTTATACTTATACCTTACCTTAATTTTAGATTTTTACTGGAATAAAAAAAAATTTGAAATTTTGTAGAGTATTTATAAACTCTAAGAATATGTCTGAAAAACCCATAGGGTTTGTAGACTCCTGTTTGAGGTAGATTGCTGAAGAAACTTTATTACAACCTGGTCAAAACTCCCATATTCTATTTTTTTTTAAGAATTATTTTATTGAACTTTATTTTTATTTATTTGATTGTTTGTTTATTTTAATTTGACCATAGAGGGACAGAGTGAGAGAGAGTGAGAGAAAGGGAAAGTGAGAAAGCAAGCCACCAGGTCTGGGACTCAAACATAGGTCGGCCTTGTGGGAATCCAGCACCCTTAACCACCACACCACCTTCTGGCTCCAAAACTCCCATATTCTTATAATCCATCCCTGGATGATTGCATAAGAAGCAATAATAGTAAGCAATAATAGTGGCTGTTGCTACGGAGGTTGACTTATTTTTAATGTTTACCATTTGGTATTGTTTGAAGTCTTTACCATGTGTTACCCACTTCAAGAAGCAAATAATTAGGGCAGGACAGGGAACAATACCCTTGTAATGGTTTGGAAATACCTTTTTTCTTTCTTTTTTTTTTGAGGTTTTTATTATAGGGTGTGTGTGCTCGGCAGAGAGACAGAGAGAGACAGAGAGATAGAAAGCGAGAAATCACCCCCCAGGGGGCATGGCCACGCCGCAGTCCCTTCTCCTCCATTCTCCCCTCGGGTTCTTGGGTACACACGAACACGCACCTGGCGTGAGTTTAAGCCACCGGGTCTGGGACTCAAACCGCGGTTAACTGCATGGGAGTTCAGCGACATAGCCATTACACTAACTGCTGGTCCCTGGAAATACCTTTTTTAACCTGAATTTACCAATCTTTTTTTTTTGAGAGGTTTTTGCTATAGGGCATGCGCGCTTGCCAGAAAGACAGAAAGAGACATAGAGACAGAAAGCGAGAAATCACCCCCCAGGGGGGATGGCCACACTGCAGTCCCTTCTCTATTCTCCTCTCGGGCTCTTGGGCACGCACACCCAGTGTGAGTTTAAGCCACCGGGTCTGGGAATCAAACCACAGTTGACTACATGGGAGTCTAGCAACATAGCCATTATGCCAATTGCTGGTCCCCTGAATTTACCAATCTTAACTGGCATTTTTTAAAAAAACTTATTTATTTCCTTCATGAGCGAGTTGCACTGTGATCCACCACACAGCCATGCAACCAGTCAGTGTCACTGTCACTGGCAAGCCAGCCAGGCAGAGGCTCCCAACTTGCTGAGACAGACCAGGATGCAAATCCTGAGTCTTTCTTTTTTTTTTTTTTTTTTGGCGAGGTTTTTGCTATAGGGCGCGTGCGCTCGCCAGACAGACAGAGAGAGACAGAAAGTGAGAAATCACCCCCCAGGGGATGGCCACGCCACAATCCCTTCTCCTCCATTCTCCTCTTGGGACCTTGGGCACGCATGCACACAACGCCTGGCATGAGTTTAAGCCACTGGGTCCAGGACTCTAACCGCGGTCGACTACGTGGGAGTCCAGCGACAGCCATTACGCTAACTGCTGGTCCCCAAATCCTGACTCTTTCTACATGGTCTTCAGCATCACCAGTGGCTGGGCCTTAGGTGGGCATCTTGAGAAGGGAAAAGATAAATAGTATAAAACATGTGAAGTGCCCCCAAAGAATGGAGGCAGTGACTAACAGGTGTCAATGTTTTGGGCATTGTTCTTCTTCCTGCAGGTGTCACAGGATTTGCCATTTCTCCACCCCAGTGAGACCAGCGTCCTGAATCGACTTTGCCGACTGGGCACAGACTATATTCGCTTCACGGAATTCATCGAACAGTATACAGGCCATGTGCAACAACAGGTGGGGGCCTACTCACAGGGGAATGTGCACCTCTGGCGGGCAGGTACTGCATTACGTGCCAGTGAATTCATTAGTAATTCATGAGAAATAAATTTCTTATCATTGGAAACATTCACATGAAGACAAGATCTCTAATTGTTTTTAGTGCGAGGGGACTTCAGAAAATTTGTAGAGGGGCCAGTAGGTGGCGCAGTGGTTAAGGTACTGGACTCCCACAGGGCACATGGCACTTGGAGTCCTCTACCTGGTCACTTGAAAAATCATTGGATGAGGGGGCAGTGGCAGCAGATGGCGCGGTGGTTAAAGGTGCTGGATTTCCACATGGCCAACCGCAGTCAGGTCCCAGACCTGGCGGCTTGCTTTCTCCCTTTCCCTCTTTCTCTCTGTTTGTCTTGGGCCAAACTAAATAATTTGATTTGAAACCTTTGATTTGTTTTAATAATAAATAAAAATTTTTTGATAAAGGTCAAAGGCCAAAATTTTTAGTCAGGTTTTCTCACAGAAGCACTGCTTTGATACGGATTTTTTTTTTTAGGTTTTTGCCATAGGGTGCATGTGCTGGCCAAAGAGAGAGAGAGAGGGAAAGTGAGATATCATCCCACAGTAGGGATGGCCACGTTGCTATTCCTTCTCCTCCATTCTCCTCTTTGGATCCGGGACACACATGTACCTGGCATGATTTTTAAGCCTCTAGGTCCAGGACTAGAATTACGGTCAGCCATGTGGTAGTCCAGCACCTTAACTACCATTCTACCTGCTGGCTCCTTTATATGGAATTTCTGAGCTAAAACACTATCACTAGTAAAGATTATGTCTTCCTTCGCTTTTACGGCTGGAACTAAGGTGCTAACTTCTTTGTTTGATTTCAGGATCATCATCCATCTCAGCAGGGCCAAGGTGGCTTACATGGAATCTACCTTAGAGCCTTCTGCACAGGGCTCGATTCTGTTTTGCAGCCTTATCGCCAAGCACTGCTTGATCTGGAGCAAGAGGTGAGAAGAGGAGATACAGAAAACAATACCTCTGGGCCGGCAGACTAGGGCATGTTCTTTTTTTTTTGAGAGGTTTTTTGCTATAGGCGTGTGGGCTCACCAGAAAGACAGAGAAAGACAGAAAGCGAGAAATCACCCCCCTGGGCGATGGCCATGCCGCAATCCCTTCTCCTCCATTCTCCTCTTGGGATCTTGGGCACCCATGCACACGTGCCCGGTGTGAGTTTAAGCCACTGGGTCCAGGACTTGAACCGCAGTCGACTACATGGGAGTCCAGTGACATAGCCATTACGCTAACTGCTGATTCCTAGGGCGTGTTCTTGAATTGGAAATTCAAGCCCTTTAATAAGGCCAGGTAGTCAAGACTGAGTCATTTTCTAAGTGGCTAGAGGTTATGGTGTTCTCTCTGTGATTGCACAAGCCACAATCAAAGTGGCTTATAGACCGTAACAAAGTTTCCTTAGTGAGTGAGTTTGTTTATTTATTGAGAGTTTTTTGCTATAGGGTGCATGCACTCACCAGAGAGCTAGAGACAGAGAGAAATCACCATCCAGGGGGGATGGCCATGCCATATTCCCCTCTCCTCCATTCTCCTCTTGGGACTCTGAGCACTCACACACACATGCCTGGCATGTTTAAGCCACCGGGCTGGGAACTGCAGTTGACTATGTGGGAGTCCAGTGACGTTAACCATTACACTGCTGGTCACATCTGAGTGAGCTTATAAGAAACCTGCTTTTAATTTATCTATTGCGTGAAAATCAGAGTTAATAATTTATATAAATTATCAATTCTCTATTGCTTAAGATTAATACTAAGCCCACTCTCAGATTCTCTTCTAGCTTTTGTAGATCAAGTCAATTTGAGATATTTTTGTGGAGCCCTAATCACAGTGTCCTGTTTTTGTTTTGTTTGCAGTTCCTGGCTGACCCCCATCTGTCCATATCACATGTCAATTACTCCTTAGATCAGGTATGCTACCCTAATATCACAATGCCTTGGAATCTGTTGATATAGTTAGAATAACCTAACTGACAACATTTTTCAATAACTTATTTCCTTCTGGATTCAGAGCCCACCATTTTATATTTTGTACATTTATATACTTCTCTACATTAGAACTGCTTGAAGAGTACCAAATATAATTAAAATTTTGTCTGGTATTAATGCTGTATATTGACATCAATATTAAAATTATATTAACCTCAGAAATAGAAATTGCCTCCACCTGCTATCCTCTTCCTGTCTGCAGCCAACTTCACATCAAATTGCTTTAGTATACTCAGTCTTGAATGTTCTGTGGTATTTTATCTTCAGTTGGACTTTATTCAGAGACAAAAGCATTGATTTTCTTTCGTGCATTTGATTACATACCCTCCTGATTATTCTCTACCTTGCAGTTCCAGCTCCTTTTCCCCTCTGTGATGGTTGTAGTAGAACAAATTAAAAGTCAAAAGGTGAGAACTTCCCTTTTTCCTTTTGCTCTGCTAAGCACTGAGGATGTATTAGTAATTAATTTTGCCTTATGTTCTTTTTGGAAGGCCCTTGTTTTAAATAGTTTTTAAAAAATATTTATTTTATTTTATTTGATATTATTATTTTTTAGATTGACCAGAGAGAGAAAGAGAGAAAGGGAAAGTGAGAAAGCAAACCGCCAGGTACAGGACTTGAACTGCAGTCAACCATGGGGGAGTCCAGCATTTTAAAAAGTATACCATCTGCCAGCCCCTAAATAGTTCTTATTTATTAATTAATCCATTCAGCAATATCTGTTGGGTATCATGCTTTGCGTCAGGAGTACAAAAAGAAGATATGACTGTGTCCTTCAGCATCTCCTGGTCTAGAAAGCAGAGGAAATGTTGATAGATGTACTCAAGAATGTTGCTGGACTAAGAAAAACATGCTGTGAATTCTTGGAGGTGGGAGCAGTCCACACTAAAGTTTAGAACTCTTGAGTATGGATCTGAAGAAGAAACAGAAAATCAGTCTTTAAAAGACAGTAATGAGTTTATAGTTAGAATGTTAGCAGTTTTCTGAGAATTGTGTTCAGTGGGTAGACCTAGATAATTGTTAAATATGCCTTTTTTTTTCTTTTTCTATTTTTGCTATAAGGTGCATGCACTCACCAGAGAGACAGAGATAGAAAGTGAGAAATCACCCCCTAGAGAGGATGGACACATTGCATTCTCTTCTCCTCCACTCTCCTCTCGGGATTTTGGGCACATGCGCCCATGTGCCTGGCATGAGTTTTAAGCCATGGGTCTGGGACTCGAACCACAGTTGACTGTATGGGAGTCCTGTGAAGTAACCATTACGCCATCTGCTGATCCCTTTTTTTTTCTTTTTCTTCTTCTTTTTTTCTCTTTCCTTAATTTTTTTGGAGAAGTTTTTGCTGTAGTGCGCGTGTGCTTGCCAGAGAGACAGAGAGAGAGAGACAGATAGAAAGCGAGAAATCAGCCCCCAGGGGAATGGCCACGCTGCAATCCCTTCTCCTCCATTCTCCTCTCAGGATTTTGGGCACGCATGCACATGTGCCCAGTGTGAGTTTAAGCCATGGGGTCTGGGACTCGAACTGCGGTCAACTACATGGGAGTTCAGCGACATAGCCATTATGCTAACTGCTGGTCCTTCTTCTTCCTTTTTTTTTTTTTTTTTTTAAATTGAGAGTGAGTGAACATGGAAAGAAAGGGAGTGAGTGAAAGAGAATGAGAAAGAAAGGGAAGGAGGGAGAAGTATTCCCAACAGGGTCTTTCTATCTTTATCTACCGCCCTAGCTTCCCAGTTAGATAGGAGTATACGAGCATGCCACCCTGCCTGGCCTGTTTAGGTTGGTCCAAGATATGAATTTGGACCTCCCTTTATGATCCCAATCTCCTACAGTGGCACCTTACTGTTTGAACCACTGCAACTGGGCCAGGTATCCCTATTCTTGTTATCACATACATTGCTATAAGTTATCCTATGCACTGAAAAATTAGACATTCCCCCATGTCAGAATGTCTTTTCTGAGCAGAGTTAATGACTGTGGGGAATAAGTGCCCCAGGGTTCCAACCAGCAGATGGTATAATGTTATGTTGTTGGATTCCCACGTAGTCGACTGTGGTTCAAGTCCTGGATCCAGTGGCTTAAAACTGACACCAGGCATGTGTGCACGTGCCCAAAATCCTGAGAGGAGAATGGAGGAGAAGGGATTGCAGCATGGCCATAACCCCTGGGAGGTGATTTCTTGCTTTCTCTCTATCACTCTCTGTCTCTCTGGCAAGTACACACGCCCTATAGCAAAAATCTCTCTAAAAAAAAAAAAAAACAAGGTTTCACATTAGAAGAATCTTCTGTGTTACTGAATTGGTCCATAATTGGACCAATGGACAGTGGATTAAATATATTTAGCTCAAGTCTCCATGTTTTTAAACTCTTATATTAGTTCCTTAGCTTATTAGGAGTGTTCACTTTGATTAATATATCTAGTTAACTATTTAATTGCCCACATTGCTCCTTCATTTTTGCTGTGACATTCATGGTGTACCAGCAGAGCCTGCTCTTTGGTCCTTCATAGCCGATTGCCCTCATCGAATTACAATACCCAGCTTTACTGTGCCCTTGCTGTGTACTAGGTGCGGTCCTCTAAAGGGCTAAGTAGGTTAAGAAATATGCTAAGGATCACGCAGATGATAGTAAATGGTAGCTGAGACTTATTCATGTTCAGTTTTTGCTATAGGGCACATGTACTCACCAGAGAGAGAGAGGAGTGAGAAATGACCCCCACAGGAGTGATGGCCATGCCATAGTCCCTTCTCATGTCAGAATCTGGGACATGCACGTACACACACCCAGAGTGATTTTCAAGCCACCAGGTCTGGAACTAGTACTACTCAGCCTGCCATGTGGGATCCAGTGCCTTAACCTCCATACCACCTGCTGGCCCCTAGAGCTGGGATTCAAATCAAAGGACTATAGGATTCCAAAATCTATACTCTTAACCACTATAATAAGCTGTCTCTCAAAATGAGAGGGGACCTCATAGGTGAGTAGAGTTTGTGGTAACAGCGTAAGGGCTCCATGCCTAGATACACATCTCAGTTGGCTTTCAGCTTCCATCGGCTATAAGAAGGAGAGTAGAAGATGAACAGAGGGATTGCAGGAAGGATGAATCTTCCTTCCTGCCAGGATGAGGGTAGAGAAATTAGTGTGCCACAGGTTTACAGAGTTCAAAAAGAAAGGAGGTGCCCAAGAGCATGAGGTGGGCATGAGAACAGGGACATTGTAGACAGGCACAGGGGTCTTTTTGGAGTGGTGGAAATATTGTAACATTGGATTATGGTCATGGTTGCACAATGCTGTAAACTTACTAAAAATTGTTTAAGTCTCCTTAAAATGGGTGAATTTGATGATACATAAATTGTACCTCAAAGTGGTTAAAAAAAAAAAAAAAAAAGAACCTGAAGTACATAGAGGCAATGGATTTTTTTGAAAAGCATAAACCTTAGTAGTCTAAATTGGGCCTTAACAGACATGAAAAAGCCTTCCTTGGTGGTAGGCATTGTACAGAGTACTCCTGGATCCCACATGGCCAACCACAGTTGGAGTCCTGGCCCTGCAGCCTGAAAAACATCAGGTGATCACGTAGACATCCAGGATTCTAACTGGATGGAGAAATGGAGAAAAAAGGATTGGGATGTGACCAGTCCCCTTTGGAGGTCTCTCTCTCTTTTTCTCTTTGATGTAATGTCTGGTGTAAACAAATAAAAAAAACTAAAGAGTGCCAACAGGTGGCATGGCGAAGGCACTGGACTCTCACATGGCTGATTGTGGTTTGAATCCCAGACCTGGTAGCTTACTTTCACACTTTCTTTTTCTCTCTCTGTCTCTGATGACACGTGCCTTATAGCAAATTTAAAAATAAT